TGTTCTTTTTCGTTCTGCTTTTTCTCATTTGTTAATTTATCTTCTTTCTTTCTTTCTTTCTTTCTTTCTTTCTTTCTTTCTTTACTTTCTTTCTTTCCTAGGGTGCAGATACAGAGTTGTGAACCTGGGTCTCCTTGTCACAATTTGGCCTGGATTTCACTCTGCAGGCTGACATGCCATTGATTACATTGCAATCCTCCTGGCTCATTCTCCCCAGTGCTGGGATATGTTCAGGGAATCAACATGTCTGGTTTATGAGGAAGAATGTTCAAACAACTTTTACTTTTTAGAGTGTATATGGCTGCTAGTAAAGCTGTCTTCTGTTTGTCATGTTGACTGTGGATTTCAGCAGTTGAAGAGCACAGAACAGGGATCCTTAGGATCCCTAAAGATCAACAGGAAAGGAGAAATAGTGGGGAAACCTGCAGTCAAAACTTCATTTACATGCCTCAACCAGAGACGAGAGTCCATTAAAAAAGTGTGAAAGATTACACAAATAAAATTTAGGAGATACAAGCCAACAATGTGACCACCAGCATGAGGACAGTTTGGGCTGCTCTGGTCTCAGCATGGCCTCGGTGGTTCTGACTGGCAGTGAGGATGTGCCGTGTTCGCTGGTGATGCCTATGGAGGAGAAGCACCATGGAGACACTGGTCCAGATCATGACGCTGATGAATGTGGCATCATGGGCAAAACGCAAGATGGCCATGCCTACACTGAATCCAGATGTGGAGCAGACCCACTTGCTGTTTTTGTTAGTGTCATTGCCTGTTCTCTGTGGACCAATGACTTTCATTTGAAAGTAAACATTATTTATGACACTGAACAACCAACAACTGTAACAAGAATAACTCTGGACATTAGGAGCTCTTCCTTGAGGTATCAGCCTACCCCAGTGACCAGGAACAAGAGTGAGAAACTGGTGTATGCTCAGTGCGCTGGTAGAGCACATGTTTGTGCTTCGAGCCACTACACGAATGAAGAACTCAATTTTGCATTTCAGGTTAGTTGGAGGACTCCTTGGAGCAAAAACCATCATCTTGTTTGGAAATGCAGTGACCAGGAGAAGGAAGGCATTGGCCACAGCCAAGTTGGTGACAATGACCTGTGTGGGCCTCAGTTGAGAACCAGTAAATTTGGGAGAGAAATTGTGGAAAAACAGAAGAATGTTGGCCAGAGTCCCAATTCCAACCTGGGAAAGCAGGAGCATGTGAAGAGCCAATTCCTCAGTTGTTTTTAGAGCTTTACTCTGAGAGGACACGGACATGACTTTTGTGCAGGCTGGAGTGATGACCAGAAGGAACACTGCTGTCCTCAAAACGCTTCTCAAAGTCTGAGCATTAGAATGATTTGAGTCTTTATTTCTTCTATGAAGGGAGACACTACTGTATCACAGTATAGGAGCTTGTCCTGGAGAACACTGCAGAGACAACTCAGACTATTACTTTGTGCTTTATGTATTTTCCCTCACCTCATGATGCAAGTGTATTAGTGATACAGTTGTATCATTCTTGGTCAACATCACACCCGTTGTAACACATTATGATATAAAAACACATGAACACTGAACAGTGGAACACATTTTTTTTATCTTTCAAATTCAACATCTTCCCTCAATGATAAAAAGTGTTAAGAAATACAAATTGGAGGTTGGAGTGATGGCTCTTCACAAGACTCATGTTCAAATCCAGCACCCACATGGTCGTTCATAACACCTGTAACATCAGTTCCCCAAGTTGAATGCCCTCTCATGGCTTTTGTGGCACTGCACAAATGTGGTGCCAGACATACAGGCAGTTAAAACTCTATATACATAAAATAAAATTACTATATCTTAAAAAGGATAAAAATACAAATTTATAATTCATAAAATCATGAAGGTAAATTAAGTAGCAAAAATCAGATTTTGAGAAAATTTTATGCAGATTATCAAAGTGATAGAATACAAAATATTTCAATAAAATAACCAGTTCTCTGATCACAAATATGAACTTCAATTTATATACACATATCCTTATACACATAAATAACCAGAAAATTTCAATAAGGAAACTCCTTCAGAGAATAAACGCCTTATATGAGGTGATTGGATACAAGACCAACTCAAAAAATCAGTAGCCCTCCTACATACAAATGCCAAATGGATTGTGAAAGAAATCAAGGGAACAACACCCTTCACAGTAGCCTCAAATAATATAAAATATCTTGGTAAAACACCAACCAAGAAAGTGAAAGACCTATATGACAAGAACTTCAAGTGTTTGAAGAAAGAAAATGGAGAAGATATCAGAAGATAGAAAGATCTTACATGCTCATGGATTGGTAGAATTAACTTGTAAAAAGGGCCATCCTTCCAAAAGCAATCTACAGATTCAATGCAAATCCATTAATATTCAAACACAAATACTCAACTACATATGGAAAAACCAGAAACCCAAGATAGCTAAAAGAATCCTGTTCAATGAAAGAACTTCAAGAGGTATAAAGATTCCAGAGCTGAAGATATACTACAGAACAATAGTAATAAAAATCATATTTCCTGGATAAAAACAGAGAGATATGGAATCATAGACCCATACAGAAGTCCGTACATGTGTAGACACCTTACATTTGACTAAGAGCCAAATTATACAGTGGAAAAAGCAAACATCTTCAAAAATAATCCTGGTCCAACTGGATGTAGGCATGTAGAAGATTGCAAATAGATCCATATCTATCACCATGTACAAAACTCAAATCCAAGTGGATCAAAGAACTCAACATAAATCCAGCCACACTGAATCTGATAGAAGAGAAAGTGGAGAATAACCTTGAATGGATTGACAAAAGAGACCACTTCCAGAATATAACACTAATAATGAAGACACTAAGATCAACAACTAATAAATGGGACCCCATGAAACTGAAAAGCTTCTGTAAGGCAAAGGACACTGTCAATAGGACAACACAGCAGCCTTCAGAATGGGAAAGATCTTCACCAACCCACATCTCACAGAGGGCTTATTCAAAAAAAATATATAAAGAACTCAATTTACACACACACACACACACACACACACACACACACACACACATGGATTTTTCCATATATATATATATACACACACACACACACACACATATATATATGACAAAAGTATTTCTTTCATTCATAATTTTGTGTATCTTCCCTATTTTAATGAGGAAGCAGAAACTGGAGATGCAGCTGAGTCATCATCAGCTTCCCTCAGCCACACACAAAATGATTGATACATCATCACAGTTAAACCTTTTGCAAAGACAAATTCTTTTGAAACTCGTGTCTTTAAATCATGGCTTTGAAGGCTCTTATTTAATGTGCAGCTGACTTCATATATTGTTTTCCAGAGGAACAATCAGTCTTCATCCATCAGCTAAAAATCAGACATCAAAACATGAACTAGATGTCAAGTTCAACATCATTTTCTACTAAGTGTTAAGCTGTGAAACACATTTCTTTGGGATGAAGAAATCATTGACATCATTAGGTAAAGAAGAGACAAAACGCAACTATCCTAACCATTAATGTTGACTTCAGAAGAGTTGCAATAGGGATAAGAGAATGTTATGCAGACATCTACAGTTGCAATAATCCCACCTGTCCAGCCACAGCAAGGATAGAGATTCTCACAGAGATGAAGGCCAGCTCCTATACACTTACTGAAGAAACAAAGCTCCTATTTAGTCTCCATTTTAAGATCTTCTCTTCCCTGAGACAGTTTCAAGGAAATGCTTACCTCTCCAACATTTTCCAAGGAACATTGTGCAGATGACTGAATGAAAACAGGGTACCAGTGCTCATAAAAAGGACTGTTGACTAGACTAACATCCCTCAGAGAGTGCATTACTTTGTCATCTGTCATGTCAGTGACAGTGTTTGCATGGAGACTACCTCCAATGAAGGAAAAAAACATTGGTCCTCAGGGCAAATCACAATTTTTACCTTGTTAATGATAATGTTTTTTACTTTGTTGGAC